CAATCCATAAAGCAATATGGGAGTTTATGAGCTTTCAATGTGGTTCAATGTGGGACCAAGTTCAGCTCGGCAGTGGCTCTCCTTTCCAACTGAAACAAAGACAACATTCATCAGAACATCTCACACACATATAAGGTCATGATTGGGTATTAAAAGGTCACCAACGCGGGTTTAACAGGTTCCCGGGTATTACATCATTTGAACAACTAAGAGCAAAGATTGATTTTTAAATACTGATTTGTCTGAGATCATTGAAGTGGTTCAGATGTTTGACAGAATCGGCAGAACGGAGTAAGAAAAGCTTCAACTTGTCTCTGCGTCTTTCTCTCAGGCAAAATAAAAAAATAAATAAACATGCTGTTGCAAAATCGAAGGCAAGCAAATGAAATCGTCAAAACTTTTCCGAATAAGTTGTCTTCTGGTGGAGCTTTTGAAGTACATCTGCCAGTTTTAATCATCCAGAAACTGACTTTTTTTTTTTTTTGCTCCTTTTGCAAAATAGCTGGAGCTCTCAGTAAGATGAGAGGAAAAAGTTCCTGAAGATCAGTTTTAAAGTTATACCACATATTCTCAGTTAGATTATAGGTTTAAAATTACTTTATTTAATCAACAAGTTTTCTTTACATATTTAAATATGTATATACTATTACTGGAGAACAATAATCTGATGTTTTTGGTTGTAAAAATATATTCTTCAAGGTTTAAAAGATTAGTTGGAAATTATTTTACATTACATATGGTTAGACAAACCCATTTACTATTTCTACAGCTATGATTGTATCCTTGACTGACTTACATCACTGGAATCTCAAGATTCTGAGCTTTCAAATGATGTATAATATGTAAATTCACATGGAGACGGTGTTGCAAAAATCAAAATGCATTTCATTAGTTAGCCAAAATGGTAAGATTATCCTGCGTGCTAACACAAGCAAGTTGGCCAACATTAACTTACTCAACAGACTATATTTACAAATTGTTAGCAACAATTAGCTAAAACAATAATGCTATCGAAAACGCTAACAATTGCTTGTTGATTCGCATTAACTTAATTTCGTCTGTAAAACTTTAGCTTTAAGCTGAGAATATGTTAAAATATTAGCTAAATGCTAACATTAGCTTGCATGCTAACATTAACCAGTATGATGACAATAATTTGAATGTTAGCATAATAACTATCACTAGCTTGTAAGCTAACATCTCACTCTGTCTTGTATGCTACGGACAATTTGAGCAAAAACGCTCACGCTAGCTAACAAACTAATAGCTATATTGTTTTAAATTACAGATTGACTCTATTTGTGGTTACAAAACTGAATAAATCATTACCTAAACTAATGGATATTGCAGTGGAGAGTAGCCTATATGGTTTTTAATATAAGAATAAATGATGGTATGATGTGATGCTGATTTTTGTTCACATTTGAGGTAAAGTGTACGTCTGTGCACATGAATTCAGAATGTTGACATGTTGTGCCTTTCGGAGAGGCCAGGTGTTTAACTGCATTCTGAGCGTTTTAAACCGACTGAGCCTTGAATATGTTCAGAACGCTGTGAGAAGAGGAAAGGAATTAATGTCAAGCTGCTGAAATCCCATCTGAATTACGAACAGCAGCTTCTTTATTCTCCTTTAATGCTGCCTAAAGAAAACATGACGAATCACCCTGACCAACAAGCTCTTTCAAAGAGAATATAAATGTGAAAACATCACAACTTTGCTTTTTTTTCAATAAAATGCAGGTTTTTGGCTGATATTATTGACATTTCATCTGCGTATAACTTGCAATGAAACGTGAAGCTGTCTGAAAAAAAACAACAACTAAAGGACGAGCTTTTCATACGATCAAATGATGAAATATGTTTATGTTTTCCTGAGCTAACTCAAGCATACCTCCGTCATGTTAGCGCACGACAATGATAGATGTTCTTCCTTCCTTCTCATATTTTGAGCATCAATACGTTTCCCATCTGGCTGTCTGGACGTCTTATGAAGAAGGAACTGTGTTGCTTTTTTATTAATATAAGATCAATGCTTTTAAAAAAAAAGTATTTTTTCTTTTGATGTTTTTATACAGTTTTGTTTTTTCAAAGTGCAATGAAAAAATATCTGATAAATGATTAGGGGGAAAAACAAACATTGCAGATGAGATAATGGAATTAATGTTTACATTACAAAATTTACCTCAAAATAATGAGATAAAGTTTGCATGATTTATTCAAGCTCAGTCATCCAGGGGTTAATAAAATAAAAATATATACCGAATATGTATTAAAATGTATCAGGATGTTTTGTGCAGATTCTAGATAATATTCAAAGGAAATTTATGTCACAACAATCAAAAAATGAATCAAAAACCACAAAAAAGACTGACAGAGAAATTATTAATATGACAGAAATACCAATATAAGCTTTATTAGGATTAAATAATACGGTAAATAATTTATCGCCGCAAAAATGTCTTCAATGTGTTGAGATGATTAAATAAAAAAAAAAAATCATAATTATGTCAATAAAATGGGAAGATTTGAGGAGACTTAAAAACATGACCAAATTAAATTAGCCTTTATCTTAATATGATGTCGAAACTGAATAATCACAATATTACTTTAACAAAAAAAATTAGAAATATTGCATATTATGAAATGTAAACAAACTCTACATTGAATTATAATTACAGTTTTTATTAGTGAAAATAATAATATACTAATGTGTTGCCTCGAAAATAAATTAAAATATCATTATGATTATGATTACAGGACGTTTGCTGATACAGAATGATGTAATAAATACAACATAATTAAATAATTTCATGTTTAAATCAGCACAAAACAAGCCTAATGGTGAGATAATGAAACTTTAATCATAAAAAATATCATTCATTAGCTTGAAAATGAAACAATTAAATCTTTATTAGAACAAATATCCGTTGACATATTCAGATATTAAAGTAAATTACTTTTAAATCACGTGAAACCCAAAACATAATCAGAAGAAAATTACTCTTATTGCGAGATAATGAAACAATAGAACTGTCATCACTACAAAACAGGATGAAATTACTGATTTTAAACTCATTTAATATAAAAAATTACATTAAACAATTTTTGTCTTTATTTTATGCAACAATAATTGCCTTCAAACATTTGATTCTGATATGAAACGGGTTTTTAATCCTAAAAAACTGGAAACTCTCATAAAACTGAATATGTTTTTCAAGCTCATGAACAGGCAGAATATTTTTCAGATAAATATGAAAACCTGGATAAAATAAAAATAAATTTAAAAAATAAACACGTCCCAGTGCCTCAGTTTGTACACTGTAAAACGACACGTTGCGTTTAGAGAAAGTTGAACCACTGACAAACTTTAATGGGCCGTTTGAGTCAGAGCAGTCACACACACACACACACACACACACACACGCACACACACACTGAACCAAGCAGATGGTCTCTGGGTTGAGGGGGGACCCATAAGGGCTGGAAACAGGAGGAACTAATTACAGAGGTAGCTGCTGCATCTGACAAACGTCTTTTTATCAGCAGTGCTGCAGAGGACAGGCCGCTGCATTTCTTCACTTTTTTCTCTTCGAATAATCAAGAAAATCTGATTTTCTGTTCAATTCAACGTTTTCTGGCGTGGATTATTTAGCACGAAAAAGTTTTTAGGGAAATGTGGGTCAGGGAGTGTTCCATAATCCACTCAATGAATCTGAATGTTTCTTAAAAGGTTGATTTATTTTGGAATCCAGTTTAAAAAGTCAAACATATTTTTAAGCATTTATCTGCTTTCACTCTGAATGTGAAGGCTAACGGTTAATTAAAAAAAAAATCCTGTTTAAGTTATAACATCACATAATATGAATAAAAAGCGATTTTGTCATGATCCGTGTTTCTGGTTTTCTGTGTTCAGTTTCTGTCCTGTGAGTCTCTGTTTCTGCGTCTTCCCCGTTGGTTGCTTCCCAGGTGTGTCTAGTTACCTGATTACCCTCCTTGTATTTAAGTCCACCTGTTGTCTCTGTCTGTTGTCGGGTTTTTGTCAAACGTATGTCGTACGTCGTTTGTCTGCCTGCCATCACAGTTGAACTGTGAAGTCCTGTGTTGGTTTAGCTCTCTTTTTCAGTCCTTAGTTTTTCAGTTGCTACCGGTAATTAGCTGTGTGCTAACTCTCTGCTGTGCTGCCTGTTCTGGACTGTTGAGCTTTCTTCATTAAATCTATCATCATCTTTATCACAACCTGGGTCTCTGCGTCTCTCCTCACCACCTCACAACCACCACACACGACAGATTTGTGATTCATAAATGTTTTATTTTGGCCTAAATAATCCTGGACAAGATCCAGTTTACAGTCGCCAGGTCCTCCTATATGAAGGCGAAGCAACTAACGATCCTCGGTAAAGCAGAGGCTCCGTCTCCTTAATGCATCTCCATCTCCAGAACTCTCAAAGTTCTGGAATCCCATCAGTGAAGTATCACAGAGGAAACCCCTGAAAAGGTCAATCAACACAATCTGAGGAACTTTGATTAAACCATTCGGCGGTCCCACAGGCAAACTGAAGGGCACGGAATCTGTCTGCTGGGTCCCATTCATTCTCTGGGAACCATCTGTCCACTGGGTTCTGTCTGCCCTTTGGGTCCCATCCATTCTCTGGGTCCCATTAGTCCGCTGGGACTCATCCGTCTGCTGGGTCCCATCTGTCCACTGGGTCCTATCAATTCTTGGGTCCCTTTCATCATCTCGGTCCCATCCATCCATTAGGTCCCACCTGTATGTTGGGTCCCATCCGTCCTTCGGGTCCCATCTGTCCTGTCTCCCTTGTTGTCTAATGTTGGCACCATTCAGAACTTGTTCTTGCTCTCTGGTCTCCTCATTTGTTCCAAATCTTTATGTCATGTTCGCACAGCAAAACGTGTTTAGTTTAGTTTGAATACAGAAACTATTTCAGGTAAATCTTGTCATCTCAACCTTGTCCCTGGTTCTGTGCGTTTGTGTCCAGTCTGCCCGGGTACGGAGAACAAGCTGAGCACACTGTCTGACCTGGACCAGCAGTACCGCACCCTGAGGAAGCTCTACGAGAACTGTGAGGTCGTCATGGGAAACCTGGAGATCACCAGCATCGACCGAAATCGCAACCTGTCCTTCCTGAAGGTAGGAGTGTGTGTTCCGTGTCGCTGTGAGGGAGATCAGGCTGAGAGGGGAGCTGTGTGTTCAGCACCATGGACAGAGACCAGCAGCTCTGATGCTCTCATTTACCATTTATATATTTAATAACATAATGAACATTTTAGGGTGCAGATTTTTGCTTAGAGGAATCAACTCTCATTTTTTAGTCATTTTGTCAGATTTTCCATATTAATTTATATTTTGAGTGGTTTATTTAACTTAATTATTTTATAATCTTTTTTTCTTTTTCCACAAATGTTTGAATTTGCCTGAAAAACATTTTAAAGTTTTTTTCTTTTTTTTATATAGTCTGCATCTTGTATTACTTTGCTACTTTAGTTGTCTCCAAATGCTTTCATTTTAATATTGTTTCTCGAATTTTGTTTTATTTGTGGCTTCTCGTGTTCTTCATAGGTTTAATTTTTAACACCAACTGAACTCGATGATGCTAACAAACTATGACATTTTATTTTCCAAAATGATCAAATAAATTTCCAGATTTAGACAATTGTTGTTAAATCTCAGTTTAGAAACAAGCAAACATGCTAAGCTAGCATGCTAATGCTAACAACCTTTTATTTTATATATTCTGGTAGTTTTCATGCCTTATTCTATTATTCAGTTCTTCATTTCTATTTCATTTTCATACTTTAATATATTAGATTGTATTCATAGTTGAAACCAGAAGTTTCATTCACCATTTTTAATTTTGATCAGTTAAATTGATCTATGTATCTATTAACTAAATGCCACAGTAACAACAGAACATGTCTGATTTATTTATTGAAGTCTTCCAACTCAGACAGTGACGTCAGAATATTTACTCACTCTTTACTGAGTGAATTGGAGATTTGACCCCCAACATCCACTGATCAAGCCGTCCAGGAATTAGACGGGTTCTGGTTCCACATCAAGTCTTTGATTCCTTTGGGAGACATCTGCATTCAGGACGGCTGCTTGAGAGTCTTATCTGCTGGGAAGCGTTTTTTAATGAGCGGTGAAATGGGCCCCGTGTGTCTTCCAGGACGGTAAACGCCGTGTGACGTCATAGACACAGAGAGAGGCTCCGCCTTCTGGGTGAGAAGCTGCTTCCTGTTGTCGGGTCTCGGTGTGTTTCTGTTGCATTCGCCACCGAGGCCTAAACATCCCCCCCCCACCCCCCCCCACTCCCCTCCTGCTGTTTAATGAAGTGAGGTGCAGTCTAATTACTGGGCCAACACTATCAAATGAAGAGCAAAAACAGTCCCATTAGACTCGGCATCATTAGGGAAACAATTAGGCATCTGTGGGATCGTTAAATGAATGTGAAAGAGGTGAGGCGGATCTGGAGCTGCAAACATCCTGCTGGTCACCAGCAACCAGACTGATTCCATCAACACCCTAACGGCTGCAATTAAAGGACAGCTTCTATAGCTTCTTATACTTCTTCTAAATCAAATGTTTAGGCTAAAAAAAGAACAACGCGTGATCGGGGAGCACACTTTCCTCCTGAACGCAGCTGCACAGTCAGAACTTCTTCATCTCTCTCTGCGCGGCTGCCAGGCTTTCCTTGTCTGCCGGTCCTGGGCTTTAACATAATGTTCTCAAGTTGCAGTGTGACGGTTCACGCAAAGTTCAAAATCGAGACTCATAACTCGAATACATCTCGACACTTCCTGAGCCATGGGCTGCCTCTGGACGGATCCGCAGGAGCTCGGGTGGATGTGGACAAACGGAGGGCGGAGGCAGCAAGGAAGGAGCCGGAGGGATGGCGCTTTTACAGCAGGCGGGGAAAAAAAAGAGAGAAAAAAAAAAAAGAAAACAGCTGCTGCGCTAAAATTACAATTTTCAGCTACTCTGCCGCCAGGCTGTGTGTTTTTATCTGCATGGATCTGAATGTTTGAGAGCTTAAAGGACGCAGGAGAGAATTTTAAAGAAAAGAGCTTGGAGGAAAACCGGGCACTGACATTTAGACTGACTATAGATTTCCCACCGCTGCACAGCTAGCTTAGCGCTCCGTGTCACCATAAAGCCCTGCTGAGGTTAGCCTCTCTGAGGGGACAAAGTGGTATTTTAAAACCAGGTAAACACTACCTGCTCATGAGAGCTCAGCATATTTACAATGGTAATGCTACTGCAAGTGGCTAATGGTCAGGATTGTAGATATGAAACAATTATTATTTTTAACAGCCACTTTTGGGCCCACAAAGCATGCTAAGACAACAGTGTTTGAAATTTTGTCAGAATTTTACCAAGGGTTGAGTTGTTGCTAATGTTAGCTAAGGCAGCATGTCTACTCAGTTTTCATATATTTGCACTTATAAGGGAACAACTATTATTGAAAAAACATCACAGAAACCTACCTCACTAATGGCGAATTAGCCTAGCTAGCATAGCATCAAACTTTTACTGATAAAAATTTTAACTTTTCTTTTTAAGTAAATACAAATTATTTGCAGAAATTCCAACTATTTGTGGAGTCGGCTTTTTTTTATTCTCGGTGCTGATTGACTAATCCCTCAAAAGCAGCGATAAGGATGACTGTCATTGTTAGCTTCTGCTAATATGGTTTCCACTGTGAGTATTTATGCATAATAAGCTATATTTGGTGTTTGCACTATTAAAACAGGCAGCTGTGTGTTTTTAGAAGGCGTCTCTAGTGTTTGTGCTGTCCGTCCATGTTTATGGACCGACAACATATCAGTTCATACACACCATGTTTTGAATCTTCAGAATCACAATGTTTTTGGATGATCAGATCGTCGCATATGAATCACCGTGTTCTGTTATAATTCACAGTGGGTGTGAAAATATAAACATTGCATAGTTTGGCTCCAGAGTGAAGACCAAGAACAAGGCGTGTAGGAAACATAAGGAAGAGTTGGATAGAGTTGGAGTGTGAAGACAGCCTGGCAACTGGCGGGCCAACAGGAGGACGAGCCAACCCAACACAGGAGGAGGACACGAAATGAAACGAAGGTTTAAAAACTATAGAAACCCTATCCAGTCTAACTTTAAGTAGAGAATTAAAAAAATTGTCATAACCTGGTTAAAATTGTCCTGCGATTTTAGCACTTTGTAGAAAGCTCCCAGTAAAGTTGCTAAAGGCTAACAGGTGATCAAGTGCATGGCTGCAGCCCGCCTCCACCCGCTTGGCTCTCTGGGTGGGGCAGCTCTAAGGAGAGATGAATGACACAGCTCCGGAGGTGTGTGTTCAGTGTCGACATAAAGACACACACACACACACACTTTGCTGAGCTTATCTCTTGCAAACAGCAGCCGGAGGAGACAGGAGGAAAGATGGCGGCTGCAGAACTCTGTGGTGTTTGATGGCAGAGGAGTTCCTCTGTGGCTGGAGGACCAGAGAAGAAGAGAGAGACGTCTTAAAGCGACACGTTCCTCACAGCTTCAGGTTTACAGTCAGGACTCAGAGAGAAGGAGGTTAAATCTACTGTCTACAGTTTAGGAATGCTAAATAATATAATAGATTATTTATCTCTTTATCTAAAGGTTGTGTCCTGACTTCTTTGCTTTATTCCTTCAATTTATTGTCCTTTCTTCTTTCTCCTTTTTTCTTTTTTCTTTCTGTTGCTTTTTCTTCTTTCTTCCACCTCTCTTCCTTCCTTTTTTTGGAGAACAATTCTTTCCTCCTTCATGCCCTTCCTTCCTTTCTTGTCTTTTTCCTGTTTTCACCTTATGTCCAGCATTTGTTTGCTTTTTTCTTGTTCCTTTTTTCTTTTTTTCCTCATGTCTTTTCTTCTTTCCTTTCTCCCTTGCTTCCTTTCATCTGTCCTTTGCATCCCTCCATCTTTTCCTGTATCCTTCCTTGTTTCTTTCTTCTCATAGATTTTATTTTTTGCTAAATTTCCGTCTTTCTTCCTGTAGAAACATCAGCCACAGAGTAACAGTTAACGCTTATTTATGAAATCAAATGAACAAATAAAGGATTTCTTTAGTCCCACAGCATGACGCTGCCACTACCATTGACGTGATGACATAAGTCAGTCTTTGTCTCGTCTCACCATAAGATCTTTCTCCAGAAGACATTTGGCTTGTCCATGTTGGAAGCTGCAGTTTTTGGGGTCATGACCTTTCAGGATCAGCTGCTTTTGATGATTTCTGGGTTCTTCCTGCTTCCTCTCCTGACCTCCTGACTTCCTGTCCTTGCTGGGACGTCCTGAGACCTGCGTCAGTCAGAATGACTGATCACTCAGCTCATCAGATCAGTCTGCTCTTTTTTACCAGAGTGGCTTCATGTCATTCATTTCCACTCAGGCAGTAATTCAGGCAGCTCTCTGTCAGACTCGTTTCACCGGTCTGACCTTCAGTAATGTTTACCGTTTATCTTTTTGCTTCAGAAAAGAAAAGGAGAAGTGCATCATTCAGTGTTTTGAACTTTGCACTTTGCCTTTCAGGTTGAGGAAAACAGGAAGAAAACTCAGAAATGTAAACTTTAGAGGTATTTCAGAACATAAGGGGACGAATTAGAGAAAGTGTTCAACCAGGGTTCTGCCTGATCCGGTTCTTTGGGTCCAGTCTTTGGCTACATTCACCCAGCAGCTCTTGATGGTCGATTTTGATTTTTTGCAGAAATACAATTTTTCTGCATGATCACTCTATTTAACAAATGCAAGAAGAACCTAGGCGCCACACGCCGCCGTCCATGGATTGACTTTAAAGAGCTGATAGCATGCTGACCAGATCGTCTCCTGATCGCACGTCTCACATCACCGAGTCGTATAAAATGTGACATGGCCTTTCAGACTGCAGACGCGTTTTTTGCGGGGGTGTGAGGAGGGAAAAGATCGGAATCAGGTAGATCAGATCAATGTGAAAAGTGTGAAAATCACCAACTGGTTTCCCTTTACTTAACCCACTCAAACAAGAACTCCCAGTAGCTGCATGGTGATGAACTCTACAGTATTTGCTGTTAAATTTGAAGAACCATTTCTGCTTCAACGACAGCAGAGGAACGATTGACCATGAAGTACTTGTGTTGCGATAGA